GGGGGGGGGGGCGCCGCGGGGGCCCCCTCCCTGCCGACGCACCGCTCTGCGGCGCTCCGGCAGGAAATGACCCCTGGTCAACAAAGTCAGGAGTGAACAGCTGCACCGAGTATTTTACTGCTTGAAGTTAACTAGACGTGTTCAGACAGCAGGTGTGCCCACCTACCCCCATGCTTCAAGCGTGTTCACCTATCACAGAGGTAGGCTCCCATAAGGTTCATTTTCTCTAAGAGATTGCAGGGGTCTCCACGTTGTGGAGGAAGTTGTCCTCTTTCTGCTGAACAGAAGCATCACCGGAAAGCAAGCAGAGCAGATAGGGTTACCTCCTGTCACCTGGGGGATTTGGGGGCGGAACTTGAGGAGGGCGGGGTTTCGGGGGCGGACCTCAGCAGGGTCTAATGCCCTTGAGTCCGCCCTCCAAAGCAGCCCGTTTTCTCCAGGGGAGCTGGTGTGTGGCAATCAGCTGTGATTCAAAGAGCTGTCCAAGCCCAGCTTAGAAGCCGGTGACTCTAAGATCCAAGACGAATTCTGGGATAGCCTTCAAAGAACCCATTTTGGGGGGGGGGGAGCAGGGCATATGATTCCCCCCACGGCCTCTACAAACGTCCCCACCACACTTTGCTGTCGCTCACGGGAACAGACATTACAATAACCAGGGCTTTTTTTTGTAGAAAAAGCCCTGCAGGAACTCATTAGCATAATAGGCCACACCCAACAGCAGAAACTCATTAGCATATTAGGCCACACCCCTGACAGCACAGCTCATTGGCATATTAGGCCGCACCCCCACATTACCAGCAGTGTGCTCATCCAGCCACACCCACCTTTTGCTTCTTATTCTGTTTACCTTCTTTGTTGTCCAAAACCAGGGCTTTTTTGTAGCAGGAACTCCTTTGCATGTTAGGCCACACACCCCTAATGTAGCCAATCCTAATGAGTTCCTGCTGTTGGGTGTGGCCTATTATGCTAATGCGTTCCTGTTGGGTGTGGCCAACTTGGGAGCCAGCCGGAACTCCGTTCCTGTGCGTTCCTGCCCCAAAATAGCCCTGACAATAACTCTGTTTAAAGTTTGCTAAACCAAAACCTCTTGTGCAATTACGTCGTCGTGCCAGAGAGTCCATCAGTCATTCAAGCGCAACCAGTTGTAGTCCAATCTGTGAGGGCCCCCCCCCAAGAATCCTGGGAATTGTAGTTTACCGAGGGTGCGAAGAAATTTCTCTTGGAGAACAAGTGTTCAATGTTGATCTTTTGTGGATGAGTCTGAGCGACCCAGCCTCTGCCTTAACCCCCTCCCCTCTGTCTCTGGGCCCCCCCTCCCCTGCCGGTCCCGTGCCCAGGCCTGCTGGACCCGCCCTTTGTCCCGGACCCCAAGGTGGTCTACGCCAAGGACATCAGCGACGTGGGCGCCTTCTCCACGGTGAAGGGCGTCATGCTGGACGACACAGACAAGTTGTTTTACGACGAATTCTCCTCGGGGAACGTCCCCATCCCCTGGCAGGAGGAGATGATCGAAATGGGCATCTACGAGGAGCTGAATCTCTGGGGGCCCAAAGGCTCCGTCCCCGAGGACCTGAACCGCAACAACATTCCCGGCGCCCCCAAGTCGGGGACTTGCAGTGTCTGCTGAAGAAGAGCGGCGAAGACCTCCCTGGGGCCTGCAGCACCCGCAGGACTAGATGATGAGCACACCCTCTGCCCCACGGATGAGCCACCACCCCCAGGCCACTGTGCGGCTCCAGGGGGGCGCTGGCCTCTTCCGCTCACAGACTAGAGACTCCACGTTCGGTCCTGTTTTTCGTCCCTCCGTGGCCATCCCTTCTTCCAGTGGTGGGGGGACTTCCAGCCCTCCCCAGCCGGGCAGCTCTCTTTCTATTACCCAGCCAGTTTTCAAGTCTCAAAGGAGGAGTCCAACCAAAGGCAAGGATTTGGGTGGCCGGACCCCCGGATGCTGTTCCTAGTCTGGGGGCCGCCTGGCCAGAGCGAGGGAGCCGTCTGGGGCTTCTTCCACAGGTGAAGGGGGGTGCCGATGCTCCCTCTCAGCTGTGGAGTCCCGAGAGCAAAAATTCTACTTTGTGAGCTACCGGCATTAAAGTTGTGAGTGAGCGATTTGGCTGCTGCATACATTCGTTGGGTCTGGAGCCATCCTTGGGCGAAGACAACAATGTGTGCGCCGGAGTCTAAAAAAGTGTGAGCTGGCTCACACTAACTCAGCTGAGAGGGAACACCGGAGGGGGCATGTCAAAAGGAACGGGGACGCCCCGCTCTGAGGCCAGTTTCACCCTGGAGCGCATCAGCCAGGGCCGCCAACCAGTGTTCCCTCTAAGCTGAGTTAGTGTGAGCCAGCTCACACTTTTTTAGACTCCGGCGCACACATTGTTGTCTTCGCCCAAGGATGGCTCCAGAGCAGACTAATCTAGGCAGCAGCCAAATCGCTCCCTCACAACTTTAATGCCAGGAGCTCACAGAGTAGAATTTTTGCTCACAGGACTCCACAGCTTAGAGGGAACGTTGCGAAAAGACTTCGATCCTCTTGGCAGGGTTATAATTTCTAGGGCGCTTTATTCCTTTCTTTAATTAATTTCCTCTCCCAGCCTCCCTCCCCCCCCCCCCGGGAGATGGGGGGGGGGAATTGGAATACAAGCCCAGGCCGGCCAGGAGCCAGAAGCGCTGACCCCAGGATCAGTGCTTCTGCACAGGAAAGTTTGCCAACTCTGGACAGGGAGGCTCCTGGAGGTTTGGGGGTGGAGTTTGGAGAGGCTGGCGTTTGGGAGAGAGGGAGGGTGTAATGCCTCTGAAGCAGCCATTTTCTCCAGGGGGACTGATCTCTGCAGTCTGGACATCAGCTGTAGCAAGCATGGGCCCACAAGACTCGAGGGGGGGGCAATCCTATCTCCCCGCCCACTTTCTTGCTGGGCCAACAGCACCTCCAGGGCTCCGCTGGAACCCAGCAACGGACAAACTGTGCAGGAGGCAGGCGTGTTCTCTGCCTGCAGAGAACGATCTTTTCATTTTGGGAGGATTTAACCCCCCCCCCAGTGTTACTTTTTTAAAAAAAGACTTCAGATTCTTCTGCCAACCTGGGGTTCCCCCCCCCCAAGTTGTCAGGAAAACGTGTTGTGTCCGCTTGGCCCCTGATCTGCAGATTTAAATATCCGCAGATAGGGGGGCAGACGTCGCTATTAGAGATATAGATTCTGGGAGATCGCCAGGCCCCACCTGGAGGTTGGCAACACTAAAGGCCACCTCCTAGAGTCCTGGCCAGGAGGGTTGTAGATTCAACAGTCTTCCCCTGGGAAGGGGGATAGGGTTAGCAGTTCTCTTTACCGTGAAGCGGAGATGTATGTCCAGTAAGAATAAAATGGGCGTATGCTGCTGCATCTGAGAAATGCCTGACTTCTTGTCTGAACTTGCTGGGGCACACTGCTTGCTTCCATGTGCACGTCTCTGTGTGTGCGTGAGTGCATGCGCACGCGGGGACAAAAAGGCACCCTCTCGCAATGCTCCCTCTAAGCGGTGGAGTCTTGTGAGCAAAAATTCTACTTTGTGAGTGACTGGCCTTAAAGTTGTGAGCGAGCGATGTGGCTACGGCAGAAATCAGTTTGCTCTGGAGCCCCATCCTTCCTGAGCCGAGACAAGAATGTGTGAGCCAGAGGCTAAAAAGCTGTGAGCTAGCTCACACCAACTCAGCTTAGAGGGAACACGGTTTGTGAGCGACTGGCATTCAAGTGGTGAGCGAGCGATTTGGCTGCTGCATAAACCAGTTTGCTCTGGAGCCCTCCTTCCTGAGCCGAGACAAAAATGTGTGAGCCGGAGGCTAAAAAACTGTGAGCTAGCTCACACTGACTCAGCTTAGAGGGAACAGTGCGTTCAGCCTGCAACTGAAGAAGAGGAGATTGGATTTATACCCCATGGCCCTTCACTACCCAAAGGTGTCTCAGAGCGGCCTACAATCTCCCTTCCCCTCCCCACAACAGACACCCTGTGAGGTTGGTGGGGGCTGAGAGAGCTCCAAGAGAAATGGCTATGGCTTGACCAAGGTCATCCAGCAGGTGCAAGTGGAGAAGTAGGGAATCAAACCCGGTTCTCCCAGATTAGAGTCCGCACACTTAACCACTACACCAAACTGCTTCCTATCTCAGCTTCCATCGGCATCTGCGGTCACAGGCCGCATGCCAGAAGCCAGCTGTTTCCAGATCTCTGTGGCAGAAACAACCCTGACCCGGATGACGCAGGCAAGCCTGATCCTGAGAAGCCAGACCACCACCCCAGAAGTCCCCGGTGGCCACACAGGGGCAGGCACTTGGCAACCCCCCTCTGAACATCTCTGGCCTTGAAAACCCAGCGGGGTTCGCCATAAGTCCACTGCACTTTCTACCAGTGTTCCCCCTAAGCTGAGTTAGTGTGAGCTAGCTCACAGTTTTTTAGCCTCTGGCTGACACATTTTTGTCAAACAGAGCAAACTGATTGATGCAGGAGCCAGATCGCTCGCTCACAACTGCAATTCCAGGAGCTCACAATGCAGAATTTTTGCTCACAAGACTCTGCAGCTCAGAGGGAGCCAGTTTGGTGTCGCGGTGAAGTGCGTGGACTCTAATCTGGGAGAACCGGGTTTGATTCCCCACTCCTCCACATGCAGCTGCTGGATGACCTTGGGCAAGCCGTAGCTCTGAGAAGAGCTGTTCTTGAAAAAGAGCAGTTTCTGTCAAGAGCTCTCTCAGCCCCGCCTACCTCACAGGGCGTCTGTTGTGGGAAGGGGAAGGGAAAGGAGTTTGTAAGCCCCTCTGAGACACCTTTGGGTAGTGAAGGGTGGGGTATAAATCCGATCTCTTCTTCTTCTTCTTTCCACCCCCACGACTGTGGCATAAATCAGCCATCCAACCGAACCGCCCCGCCCTTCCCACACTTATACCACAAGAAGAGCTGCCCACGTACGCAGGTGTGTGTGAAAACAAACGGAAGCGAAACTTCAGCTGACCATTTTAATCACCCATGATGAACAAACCCCACGGATTCCCTTTTGCCACTGTAGTGAACCATGCCCGGGCTGGTGTGGGCTTTGTCTCGGCTACACACACGCACGCAGCGCCCCCCCCCCCCGCGCCAACGTGTGGCGATAGGAAATTCACACACCCC